GGGTAAGGGAGTGATTCTTGGGGTTTAGCACCTATCCCCTCACTGTGCGTAGATCTTCTTGAAGATGGGAGGTTGCCTTATAGTGAGTCAGACCAATGGTGTGAGTAGAAGCAACTCTCTAGCCCTACTTTTGAGGTCTTTTTAATTTCAAATGGCAGCAACTGAATCTGGGGACTTGCACATCTGCTCTACCACTGAGTTGTAGGTCTTGAATGTGCACCAGAGCCTATCCTCCTCACACATATTTATGCCTGTATGCTCCAGTTCATGTTCAAAATTCTAGGCATGGTGGAGGAGGATTTGAAAGCCCAAGGCTCCTCCTTTGCACCCCAACACATGTAAAACCCACATCAGGGATAGCCCAGCATGGTGGCTTCCAGATGTGTTGAGCCCCAGTTCCCTCCAGAACCCTTGTACCGAGTTTGGCAATGATATCTCAAGAGCCATCTGGACACATAGAGAAGAAACAAATGGGCAAACCATTTTCAAAATATTTAGTAAATGGCAGTCTCTCTCATTAGTTACACAGACCAGAATATCTGTATCTGAGAGCATTGTTGCCAACACCAGCATATTATGGATTACATGTCCCTCTGGTTGGACTCCTGGCACAACCATTAAGATATTTCCTTTCAAAACAAGCATTTAGTAGATTGCACTATGAGTCCATCAAGGAATAGGGTCTTACACACACACACACACACACACACACACACAGAGAGAGAGAGAGAGAGAGAGAGAGAGACTTCTGTTTCATCCTGGCATAGCTGAAAAATTATATATTTCAGATTTTCAAAATGTCAAATGTGTCACTTTGTGACTGGCACTGAATTGTGTCACTGTGGATGAGTCAACCTGCATGCCCCAATATGAACTTCTCCTTATCCATGCCTCTAGATTGGATCATAATCATTTTGAACTCTGTGCTAGTGTTGCTTCACCACTGTGCATCCATTTTAATATTGTTTAGTAATTCTGCTGTGATGCCTCTAATATGTTTATCTCTATCTTTAATTTTACTTATAGATGCATGATACAATTTACAGTTGAATAGGATGACTTTTTTTAAAAAAACAACAACAACACACCTCCCATCAAGATATATTTTTAAAAATCAAATTTTATACACTCTGCAACTTCCAGATTTGCAAGTGAACTCAATTTCCATCCTTTCAGCAGGATCCCAAGTAGTTTAACTGCTATCATTTAATGAAAATCTGATCTGGTTCTATACTGTTCTTTAAAAAATATAAACCATACTGTACTGTTAAAGGAACCCAAGTTCTGGAGTTTTTCCTCACAGGGTTGTTGTGATGATAAAATTGAGAGGAGGGATCCACACATGTTTCCTTCAGTTTCTTGGAGGAAAGGCAGGAAAGAAATGTAATAAATAAGCTCATCTATCTACAGATTTATGTGATCTTTACAGAATGCAACTATCATGATGGTATCTGATTATCTTTGTACATATATCACTTTTACAAATTAATACCAGGGCTGTGAAAGCAACACCATTTTACTATTCCCAATTTAGCAATCCTGTTCAAGCCACAAGCCAACCCAAACTGCTAAGGCCCTGCCTCGCTCTGCTCCAGGCCTGATCCAAGCTACAAACTGAATTGAGGGCCTTGCATAGTTCTAATATTTAAATTCTAATTAAACATTAGGTATGGGGAAGGGGAATTTTCATGCAGAAAATGCTATACAGTTATTAAACATAGAGGAACCCTTTCTGCTTCCTGCCCTGACCCCCCCCCCCAATGAAAGCTGTTTGGTCAGGACTGGCCAAAGACATTCTGCTGCCTGAAGGAAGGGACAAAATGATGCCCTTTCTATTTCATGTGAAAAAGCTGAGTGTCCTGCCAGCTAAATCTGACTTCAGCACTGACAACAGGACAGCATCCTCCAATGTACCTGAAGGCAGCAACCCTCCTTGGGAGGTACAGAGCAGGCCGCATGGCACACACAAACCAGCCCACCAACACTCCCCCACTGCTCTTCACCCCTAATCATCTTCTGTCTAAGGCAGTAGCCTCAGTCTGCCTAATGATATGGGCAGCCCTGACCATGATACATGTTTTCCCACAATAAAAACTAAACGAGGCACACAGGTGTGTGCCTTTTGAAATCAGTAGATTTAAATGTGCTTAGCTCTTTTGTGCCTATTCATGTTCAGCTACCAGCCCATAAATGCAACTTAAGCAGAACTGAAATGGGAGGGACCTTTAAAAATTCAAAGGCTGGCATTATGTTTTAGTCAAGTGTTTCCAAAAAAGAAAAGAAAAGGGCTGTGATAAAATGGTCAGTCTTTAAGGTGCTTTCAGCCACCAGTTCTCTAATACCAGGTTTCTGCTTCCTAAATTGTTAATACATTTCACAGGCCAAATAGTTTGGAAGTTTTCTTATTGCTTTATCTCCACATAAAGTCACACTAGTGTGTCCTCACCCCAATGATCATGTGAAAAGGGTTTCTCATACATACTACAGCTGTTTGCATTGGTGAATCACGGAATTGTACATCATCTAGTCCACTGCACTGAGATTCTTCAAACTCTATAATCCAAAGCAGGATCCCTAAAACTTTAACATTTCTGACAAATTTAATGAATGGAATCAGTGAAAAATCACATCTTACTGTCCATGTTATAGTTTAGCACAAGCAGACAACAGGAAGGAAAATGTGACACTGCTTGCCAGAAGTGTTGCTATGAAAAGGAATCGAAGAAAATAAAGAAAAATGACTTATACTGAGTCAGTGTGTTGTTCCCTCTAGCTCAAAATCGGTGATATCGACTGGCAATGACTCTCCAATGTCATCAGGGATCAGACGCAGCATCACACAATTTCAGGGGCAAATCACAGCTAAATCATAACTAAACATAACTATTAAGGGTTAAGGGTGGCATTCAATGAAAGCTCCATTTACACTATACATTAAAAGCAGTACCATACCACTTTAAACAGTTATGACTTCCCCCAAAGAATCCTGGGAACTGTTGTCGGTTAAGGATGCTGAGAATTCCCATAATTTTTTAGGAGACTTCATGGTTACTAAAACTGGTATGATACTGCTTTAAATGTATTGTGCACATGGGAGCCTAAGTTTTACTTTGAGTAGACCTTCTGAAACTAATGGAACTAATTTAGTCAATTCTAGTGGGTCTGCTCTGAGGAAAGCTTAATTGACTATCAGTGAAAGTTCTGTAGTAAAATATGGGAGGGACTTTTTTTTTCTTCCCAAAAAAGAAACTTAACTCTGAAATGCATGCAAAAAGCATGTTGTATATGGGCCACTCAAGTAATGTATAACAGGTGATATGATCTATTCTGAAAGATATACAAACGTTAAGTAATATGGAATAGAGATTTCTCACTGTTGCCATGCTCATAGCAAGAGATCGTTTTTCTATGATCCTACATGATATTTCTCCTCCAAAATGGGAGAATGGATGCATGAATGATGGAAAGGTAAGTAAAAGTGTGAAAAACCCACAAGATGACCCAGGAAGTGGTTTTCCCATCAGTGAAAGAACTGAAGTCTCCAAGATGATTCACCCAGACAAACCATCAAGGAAGGATAAAATGAGTCACTCTGTTTTTCACATTTCTTTGCATTACAACACTTTCCTGAGCTTTGCTGCGTTGATTTTATGTGTAACTTACCACATGGACAAGAGCCAGAATCCTTCAGAGTTATTGCAGGGAACAAGTCTTAATCCACTTAATTTCCCTCTGTTATCTCTTTCTACAGCTTTGCTGTTCCAGTTTTTGCACCGTTTCAGGAGACATTCCCCCCCCCCCGCTCATTTCTTGTACGCAAATTGCACGCCATAAATATTCTGCGCTTACTTCGCTGCAAAATCCAACTCTTACAAATGGATGTGGCTGCAGTGCATTGCAAACCTGTATCCACTGCCTGAAAGTTTCCCAGTGCTTGTGGGAATCCCCTGGGATCAAACTATTGTGCATATTCTCACCAGAGTGGGAAAGAAAAAATCTAGTGGATTTTACCCAGATAAGTAGTTGTTTTCATTTCATGTACTAATTTGATCACTGAGATGAAAAGCCACATTCAAGATTATTTGGGGGAAGCTATGACTGTATCATTACCACTTAAATGTACAGTGGTACCTCAGGTTACAGACGCTTCAGGTTACAGACTCTGCTAACCCAGAAATAATACCTCATGTTAAGAACTTTGCTTCAGGATGAGAACAGAAATCGAGCTCTGGTGGCGCGGCAGCAGCAGGAGGCCCCATTAGCTAAAGTGGTACCTCAGGTTAAGAACAGTTTCAGGTTAAGAACGGACCTTCAGAATGAATTAAGTTCTTAACCCGAGGTACCACTGTATAGTGCAGATGTGGCCTGTATCCAAAATCAATGGCATGAGAGTTTCTGCATTGATGTGACCAATGGAAGGGTTATAAAGCTGAAGTCATCAGGGAGAAAGTCAGTTTTGGTCAAGCAAGTTCCAGAATCCACAGAGTTTTTTTAAAAAATGCACAGATGCAAACATCCCTTACACCAGATATCCAGAGGGGGGTAGCCAGGGTAGTCTATTGTAGCCAAAAGCGTAAGGGATCTTGCGGCTTCTTAAAGACTAGTGCATTTATTGTGGCATCTGCTTCCATGGATGGTGCTCCACTTTATCATAGAAGAATGGACTTCCACTTCATATGACAAAATGATTGATCTGTGGAAGTGAACTCTAGTCCACAAAAACCAGAGGCAGTATTATTCTGAATACCAGTTGCAGGAGGGGAGAGTGTTCTCGTACTTCAATCTTGCTTGCAGGTTTCCCACAGATATCTGAATGACCACTGTGAGAAGAGGATGTTGGACTAGATGGGTCATTGGCCTGATCCAGCAGGTTCTTCTTAAGCTTTATGTTAAAGTCCTTATGGTGCCACAAGACCCATTGTTGTTCACACCAGATCCATTGTGTTCTGGTAAGTCCTAAATTTCAAACCAAACTAACATGCGCTTGCTGATTTTTGTAGCATTCAGCACTGACATCAGGCAGGAGAGAACAATGAGTGAGGCAGCTCCTTAATCCACACAACCCTCTTCCGTGCCTTTTGATTGTAAGATTTCTACTCATCCACTGCACCAAGAGTTAGTATTTTTCATTACTGTTCTTCAGATTACTGTGCTTCTAATCATTTGCGTTTTAAGCCAATGAGGAGGAGGGAGGGAATGATTAGGTTCACAATACAATCTACCCCTTCATAATTTGTAGGAAATTGAGAGCAAAACATTAAAAATTGAGTGCTGCTCAATAATTCATAATTCCTCAAAAGTGAAATCCACCACTGAAATTCAAAGGCTTTACTCATCTCTAGTAACAGCAGTGATGGGACTGGAGGAGCTCCAGGCCAAATTTACCAACAGTGGATGACAAATTATATTTTCCAGTTTCATCGTTGGAGAAGGATTGCTGAGAGACACAGAGAGACACTTCCGGGGAAGGGCTGAAAAAGCTGCCCTAGAGACACCTCTCTATTAGACCTCAAAGGCTCACTTTAAGTGGCATTTGCACTATAATCCCAAACTGGGCATTTAAACAAGGGCAGCAAGCTTTAACTGATTAATCTATATGATTTATTGATTTAAGCACTTTGGTGGAATTGTAAGTTTTTCCACAATCAGTTGGTTGAGCAATTTCCAATGCATGTGAGGGTCTCCCTTCCTCAGTCCAAGCTCTCTGTGGATGGAAGGACAGCAACTAAGCAAACAGGATGGCAGGAGGATGCTGGTATAGCAATATGGCTTCAACACTTGGGCCAACACCTATTTCTCTTCTCTTCCCACCTCTAGGAAAAGCTGCAGCCAGAACAGATTCTTTCCTCTCTCTCCTTTTTGCAAGATTACTTGTATCACAGGAGATATGGAGAAGCTCTACAGGTTGGGAGTTGGAGGTATGGTTTTTCACTGGTTCTACTCCACCACCAGCACCACTTACAGAGTCTGATATTGGGGAGGGGGTATTGTGACCTTGCAACACAACTAGGGGGCATGTCACTATTCTGCCTCCCATGCTGTTGCTATAGACATATGAGGCCATCAGGCACCTTCACCAGGGGATTTGGGGCATAGTGCCACCAGTAAGCAGACAACACCCAAGCTGGCCCTCTGAAACAGATGAGGCTGTGGCAGTGCTTCAAGATAGTAAGGGACTGGATGAAGCTGAATCCTGACAGTTTTTGAAGTTTTGGGGTCAGTGGCCTGTTCTAGATGGGGCCTAACCCCCCCTTAAGGAGCAGGTTCAAAACCCAGTGGTCTTCCTTTATCTATCATTGTCAGTGGAAGCCAAGTGGCTTAGGTGGCTAGGAGAGCCTTTGAGCAGCTCTGCCTAGTTTAGCAGCTACAGTTATTCCGAGAGAGAGAGAGAGAGAGAGAGAGAGAGGGAGAGGGAGAGAGTGTCTAGTTGAATGTTATGGTTTCGTAATATCTTAATTACTGTAATGTCTTAAAGACCATCTGGAAACTTCAGTATGTGCAGAATGCTACTGCTAGGATGCTGTCTGAATTATCTGTGAAAAATCATGGTACACCTATTTTGTGTGGTCTGCACTGGATATTTTATGTGTCACCAGGCCACAATTAAGATGTTAATGTTGACAAAGCACTCAACAACTTGGGACTTCATTATCCATTGGCGTGTCTTTTGCTTTACCAAGTAACATGGGTCCTAAAATGGGCAGAAGAGACCCTTCTTGTTGTCCTGTTGGTGAGAATGATTCACAGTACACTAACATGGGATTGGGCTCCTTTTCAGAAGTGGTGCCCCCAGAATGAAATTCAATCTCCCTAGAAGCTCAGCTGGTCTCTACATTGATGGTCCTCTGGTGCCAAGTCAAAACAGACTTCTTCAACCAGGCTATTGGTGGTGCTGATTGCACTCTCCAAGGTTCTGCAGTTGGGGGAGTAATATGTCTGCTGCTGTATCTACTGGTATATATAGTTAAATCTCTATTTGTTGCTACTTTTTCTTGTTCTGAAGTTTAGATTGCTATTTCAATGATAGGTTATATTTTTAATCTGTATTTTGTTGACTTGTTTGTAAACCACATGGAGATTCATTTGTGAAAGGTGGTTAAGAAGTGCAACAAATAGATAAGTAAACCTTGCTCTGATTGTAAACTCCTATGCTGGTGTCACAACTTGTTGAAGTTGGCACACTTGGGAAAAGCTTGCACTGAAATCTACAAAGCTGATTTTTAAGTAAATGGCCGTGTTTATATGGCAAGCCCTTTGTGTACATGTCCCCATTTTTTTTATTAGTGCACACACACATACAGCCACACACACGTACAGCACCATCTGAGATCACTGGTTCCTCTGGCTCACTTAAACCTTTTAATCTTCCCTAGCCCTCCTGTCTGTGTCATAAACTGAGGGTGCCTGGGATTTAGCACCTTTAATACAAAAACCTGGTGCACAGTCACAGTGCTACAGTTCCTTTGCCCAGTGGAAATGTGTCCATATGGGTGTGTGTCCTTCTTGGGGGACAAATGGGGAAGCCATGCTTACACTATAAAGGCAATGCGTCGAAGATTAGGGAGGAATCTTCATTTTGCATTCCGGTCTCCTCCTTGCAGTTTGTCCACAAATAGTTCCTGGGTAAGACAAAATATAATGTGACAATATGGGCATTAATCGGTTTCAGTTTAAAACATCTTTGAAATGGGCTAAAAACTATGATTGCTCCAGATAATGTTTCCTTTTCAAGCATTTTTTTGCCACACATATTTTTGTCTGAAGAGCTGAGAGAAATAAAATGATATACTGTATTATATCACCTTGGTGGACTAGGTGCACAATTGATAATAGTTATACTGTTTCCGAATGCATAACCTCATACAGTTACAGCAGTTAGCGGCACTAAATTTTCCTTAAATGAATGTCCTTTGACATAACATAGTAATCAATGGGATGGATGGTCTCCCCCCCCCCTTTACTGTCCCCCCCTTCTGTTCACATTATCCTGCAACTATTTGCAAAGTTCTCAAAATATGTTGATTTTGTATTGTCCATATAGTGATGCCAGCATCTTATTATGGACATGTGGCTCATTAGTTGGCAGTTCACTGTGTAGTCAATATACACCCCCCCCCAGCCCCAATGTTTTGCTTGAATTCATTGTCTGGGAAGTGTATTTGTATTCCACACTGCGTAAATATAATTCCCAGGGTTAGAATTATGCTCCTAATAATAATTTCAAATTCACCCTTTCTAAAATTTACTAATATGTGATTTAAATAAAATTGCAGTGTATCTTCTTCCCCAATGATTAATTTTATTCAGAGAGCTTTTCTATCATAATCTCCCCCTGATATTTACAAGGAGAAAGAAAGGAAGGAAGGAAGGAAGGAAGGAAGGAAGGGAGGGAGGGAGGGAGGGAGGGAAAACACAAGGTGATGATCCTACAGAATTAAATGCATCTGCTTATAATCTGAACAAATATCCTGGAATTGTTACTTTGCAACATCAGATGCCCCATTGCTGAATCACTTTGCACCAGATAGCCATTCCTTTGTGGACGTATCTGCATCTAGACGTGCGTGTAAGGCAGAACATGTTTGCTGACCGTTTCCCACTCATGGTCTGGTACTGATTTTGAGCACGCTTTGTAGGGTTTTATTTTAGTAATGTTAAAATATTGTGATAGATGGCAGCTCGTCGCCGTTAATTGCACTAAAAGCAAAAAGGCTTATTCCTAAGGAAAATTCACAGCTTGTATAAATACAAATCTCTCCCCCCTTCCTTTTCAATATATGTACTAAGCCTCCGTTAGTCGAAAGGATCATTCTGTCTGCAGTCACAGTCCTTGGTAAGCTGCCAAGCACAATAGGGCATTAATTAACATGTGCCAGGGATTCATCAACATGCACAGTGGTAAGGAGCCATTGCAAGCTCCCCCTCCCCCCTCCCCTCTTCTCCTTTGTCCATGTAATTCATGAAAGATCTTCTCCAGTATGTAAATCACTTCTTGCTAAACACCCAGCTATACAGCTCCCTTTTATTTTCCAGAACTATTGTCGGTTTTCTTAAACATACAAGGAAGACATTGATTCTCTCTGTCTCCTTCCCTAAATAAATATTAAAAAAGGGAAAAGGGAAAAGGTAGATGTTTATACGCATGCTTTAAATACATTTGAAGGTCGCTGGGATAATAATGTGAATGCATTTGTTTACTCACTATACATTGCTCCATAAATAAATCACTTGATGAACTACAATTTAGAGGGGGGAGGGGGAAGAAGCAGTATGTGATTCATTTTGCTAAATGTGGTGCCACAGGGAATTGTGGAATTATTCTTTTCATTAGCTCAGAATGACAGTAAGCTGACCTGCTAACTTATGGGGATGCCTACAAAAATATCATAAGTCATGCTGTATCGATGACCCACCAGTGACAAAGCAAATAAATCAAAGAATTAAATTAAATTTCAATTAGCTGTTGGGTTGCCCTCATTTCCTTTTATTGCTAAGGATTACCCAACTCCCATCCTATCTGCTGAGCTGCTATTAATGTTGCTCCGATAACATTTCATCCACATTTAAGTGAAAATGCACAAAGCTGTTGACTAAACTGTATCATTACTTCATTGTTTTACTATATTATTCTTTTAAATCATAGCCGCACCTTTTGTCTGAGGGATCATTTCCTATTCTAGACTATAGACTGGGGGATGTGTGTGAGTTAGCCTGCAGTGTGGTTAATGTGTGGTGTGCATGTGCGTTGTTAATTCATGGAATAGCCTGTTTTGGATTAGGGGGAGGGAACTAGATTACATTCAGTCCTGTTTTAGGATTTCCTGAAATTCCCAGCAATCTTCTTTCATTATTAAGTCGTGAACTTTGTGGTAAAGCAGTGTCCACATTCCTCATTCAGGCTATTGTCCTTAGCTGTGTAACCTGGGAATAGTGCTTAAGAAAAAATACTAGCAGAAGTTTGGGACTCTGTTCTGTGTCTATCAGGCCAATCTATAACCTCATCTACAAGACCGTTAGGAGAGGAAAAACGTGGATTCCAATCAACCAAGTAGAACGTCACATCAAGTCACAACCACTGCTCACCGACAAGACGGTAAGCGGCCATTCATAATCTAGGTGCTTGTAAGATTATAGGTTAGAGCTGTAATAACACCTCCCTCCACAAGCACAACTAGTCTTTTATAGTTCCCTGAAAACTTATGTTGAAAGACACAGGCTCCCCCATCAAGTTGATATATGCAGGTGTAGCCAATGTGGTGCTCCCTAGATATTTTTGGGCTACCACTCTCATTGCCATTGACCATGCTGGCTGGGGCTAATGGGAGCTGCAACCCAATAACAAATGTAAGGAGGGAATCACACTGGCTACTCCTGCTTTAGTGTGTATAAAATCAAGAGAAGCTTTGTCTCCATATATGCAATGTTTTGGGTTCCAGTACAAGGAGGAGGAGGAGGAGGAGGAGGAGGAGAAGGAGAAGGAGAAGGAGAAGGAGAAGGAGAAGGAGAAGGAGAAGGAGAAGAAGAAGAAGAAGAAGAAGAAGAAGAAGAAGAAGAAGACAGCTATCTATACTTTTATAGGGTTGACCTCTAGGAATCATTGTTATGCCATGGCACTTAGTCCATGATGGAATATTTTGTCATGAAGAAATGAAGATAATGTGATTTTAAAACTTGAATCTGAACCACAACAGCTATTGAAGGGAATGAAATGTATAGCTTTGCTGAAGTCTTAAGATCTAGCAACTTAATGGCCATAACACAGTGCACTATAATGTGCATTTAAACCCCATTCAATCCATGGGGCTCAAGCATGCCGGGCTCCATGCTGGTTTGCAGCAGGTGAATCTTGATCTTTTACTGGCATGGACCGCAATGATCAAGCTACATAACACATTGAGGTTCATAATACCAGCCCAGAATATTTGGAAATGTAAGTGCAATGTTGAAAATGAGCTACTGCCTATGGCATTACGCACAAAACAGCCACTATTTCTCAGCTGCATTCACTCTCTTAACTAAACTTTTCAGGAAGCAAATTGGAGGCCGACCAAACGAGAGAGAGACAGAGAAATATTTTGCCAAAGTGGTTTACTGTGTTATATTTAACAAGAACGAGATGCTCTCCTGTCAACACTCATTTTCTCATACTATTTATTTCAATTGTTGCTGTTACAAAGTCAGCATGTGCTTTCATTTTTACACATGGTGCTATATGAAAAATAATGCCAGAATCTTTTGTTTTCACCCAGAACAGCAAATAACGGCGGTTAACTGTACAGCAACAATGCTTATTTAAGGATGCTCCCTTGCTAATGTATGTGGATATGTTCTCAGATTTGGGAGTCAGGTGGTGGTGAAGTATAATGAGAAATGCAGGGTACTGTAAAGTTCCTAGGTTGGCCAACCACATTTTTAAAATACAGCACAGCCCCTGGTTGGAAATGGGCTCTATAAAAGAGCATTGGCACAGCAATTGCATTTACAGTGAGCGGATGACATTTTCAAAAGCACTTAAGGGTGTGATTCACTTGAATGGGGGCATCCATGATGATCTGCTGACTTCAGTAAGAAAACACAAGAGTTAGCGATCAATCTTAATCACTCTGGTTATGAATTGAAAGGGACCAACCCAATGGGAGAGAAGCTGCATCATTCTTTTCTATAACAGGGCAGGGGCATTTCTGAAGACGGAAAGAGGATATCTTTGTGCAAATGGGCTCTGGATCCAGTGGTGCACTTCAGTAATATTAGACTATCCTGGTCTTTGAGAGGGACCATTTCAGATGGTAGGTATGTGTGTTGCTTCAAAATGTGGCACACCAGCCCTGCTTCATTAGGGGCAGTGAAGGCTAATTCATTGGGCAAATCAAATCAAATACCTTTATTGGTATCACAGTATAAAACATTTCAAGTCACTGGGATAATTAAAAGGACAAGGGTGAAGCTGTCGAGGGTAATAAGGTCACACTGTGATGGTGTGCACTTAGATATTCTGCTTTGCCCTGTCTGTTCCCTGAAAGGATGGTTCGTTGGGAACCCTTTCTGGTAAAATTGTGGCTAAAAAAGGCAGTGATATCTTTGTCCCAATCTGCCAGGAGAAACCTCATTTGACTTCTTCTCGGATTTATAGTCTGGAGGTCCAACATTTTGCTCAGCATCCATTGGGGCTTATGGGGCATTCCCACTGGTGGAAGAAAGTGGGGCGGGGGAGCGCACCGCCCCCTGCACCATTGGGGAGGGAGATACCATTGTGGCTGTGCCCCTGAACACACACCACGCACAGCCACATGCCATGCACCCCTATCGTGCCCCCACCGCGCTGGGCGCCATGCCTGCGTGGGCAACCCCCCATGCCTTCAGGACACACACCATGCCCCCGTGGGCAGCACGTCACGCCCCTGGGATCCATGCCACACCCCTGCGGATGGCATGCCACAACACGCCCCCGCGGGTGACGTGTCATGCCCCCAGACGCATGTCATGCCCCCGGGACATGTACCAGCCATGCCCCCACCTGCTCTCCGCCCCCAGTACCAGAGCATGCAGCTTCGCCACTGGGCATTGCCCCACCGACCTCAGTCTGTCTTCAGCCAGCCCCACCAGTTGCCTGCTGACTGACATCCTGTCCAGGGGGTGGCACTGCCTGTCAGTGCTGCCCTTGTAGAACAAAGGAGGATGGGGATGAAAATTAGTTGGCCGTGCCTGTCATTGGCTCTGGCTCCACCTAGTGTTGGCCTCCCTACCTTTCACCCCACCAGTTTCAATGTGCACCAGCCACCTCTGACTAGAGGACCCTCTGCTCTTTCTGCTGAGTGAGACCATGGAATTTTGACCCAACAGCACCATGCTCTGGTTCGTATGCACTGATCGTGTGGAGTACCTCGGGGTTGACATTTCTCTAAATAGTTATTTGGGCATTCAACACACTTGCATGTAAGCACTCAGAGGGATCATCCCATGCTCTTTTCATTCCATCAGAAGGGAAGCAGGGCTCTGCAGTGAAACAATATTTCTTCTGTGTTCACATTCCTGTTTACTGTGTGCTCACTGCATTTCCAGTGCCAGCTTCACACTTTACCCAAAATGCATATGTACTTTGTTATAAGGTACTACTTATCCCACAGTCATCTGGTTGGCCACTGTGAGAAAAAGATGCAGAACAAGATGGGCTGCTGGCATGATTCCTCAGGCTCTTCTTGTGTTTACCACAAGGGGCAGCAACATCTGGCTTCCAAGGTCTGCAGCACTAGACTCCCAAGTCCATACAACTTGATAGTTGTGAAACCCCATGACAGCTGCACATCAATTTCGGCAGACCTCTGAATCCCCAAATATTTTGGATTATCCATTTGTACATGCTGCATATTAAGTAGCCTAGAAGCTAAAATTACAAACCACACTCCTCAGTGATAAAAAGAACCTCAGTAATAAAAAATAACCTGGGAATGAACATAGCAACAAATCAATAGTTTGAATTAGTGTTTGTGCAAGAGTGTAAGAAAAAAATACCAGGAACGGAAAATATTCACATCCCTCCTCAAAGAGGAGGACCAATACTGTTGCTAAGTGTGGCAACTGCTGGCTTAGAGAGAGACACGCTACCTTAAAAAAATGTCACTAGGGATGTGCTTGCCTTAATTCAGGGGTGGGCAACCTAAGGCCCATGGGCCAGATGCAGCCCAATCGCCTTCTCAATCCGGCCATGTTTTTACATGAGTAGAATGTGTCCTTTTATTTAAAATGCATCTCTGGGTTATTTGTGGTGCATAGAAATTTGTTCATTTCCCCCCAAAAAATATAGTCTGGCCCACCACATGGTCAGCCCACAGCTGAAAAAGGTTGCTGACCCCTGCCTTAATTTTATGTGCAGAGGTAATATGCTAGGGACTAGGTAGAGATGACTATCTTTCTATCCTACAGGCCTTTAGAACATCACAGTTCCAGCTTCTCTGAAACCACCTTATATAATTTCTAACTGAGACATACCAGAGTTGACTTGGACACTGACATTTGTAGCTATGTCTACACATGCCACCCTCTGCTAAACACAGCAGCTACACAAATATCTAGGATCCAGATGGCAATGTACTGGAATGTCCTTTTAGAGCCAATACTTGTGTGTGTGCCAAACAGTCCATTGAAAACTGGTCCAAGTACAGTAATTAATATCGCAGCATACTGTGTAACACACACACACACACACACACACACACACACAGAAATGCTAAAAGAGGGAAGGGTCATAATAAATACAGTACAGTGAGAATTGTATCATATTGCTGATGTGATGGTCATAATGGCCAAAGCAGTAAATGTGTGGAGAAACCATGCAGCTATAAGAGGCATGATGCTAGAGAGAGCCCAAGCCTATTTGTATGCAATAATAATAATAATAATAATAATAATAATAGGAGATTATTATATTATAAAATATTGTAAAAGGAGATGGTGTGGTCAAGAAATAAATATTAGCAGAGCACAGAGTGTAGAAAGATGTGACTGCAAAAACAAGCAGGAGCTGGAGAGGCAGTAGAGCCTTGTAATGGGAATGTAAACAAACGTAGAGCGAGAGAGAAGGCAGAATGGAGGAAGTGAAGTAAATGACTAAATAAACAAGAAAATATGAACAGAAAGGCAAATATGTAGCAAGATGCACTAAGCTGCCGCTATCATTGCAGAGAATCAACATCGTCACTTGAAAAATTTCAGTACGGGTTCCAAAGTTCATCTAGGCCTGGCAGGGACCATGGGGATAAAGTGTGTCGTTCATACTGAGCACCATTAAGAAACAGGCACACCAAAGAGCTACAACTCCAAACCCATGAAATGATCACACAGAGGAAGTAAGGTGATGTACGTGTCTCTTGACCTTTAGCCTACCAGTTTGGGAAGGCAAATGGATAGACTGTGACAAAAACTCATGGAACACTAGCTATTCTGATAATCACAACAATGAATATTTTAATATATTTTATCTGAAAAAGTTCTTCAGATACATTGGGTTGCATCCATCCTTTGGCCTCCACAAATGGCTTTTCATTCAGTGGAGGAGCCCTCCTGATGAAAATTGGAAAGTGACTTCTAGTGATTCCT